GATGCCCGGGTGTGCAAACACACAGGGTACTCACAATAACGTCAAACCGGGAGTAGAGACCGACGACTTGCCCTGCAAGGAGAGAGAGTGCAGGGGCTGGAAAGGGGGACCTGGGGACTACCCACCATGCTCCCCCTGCACCCCAAGGGGCAGCCCAAGGGCCAGGTGGGGTTTTTGGGTGGGGATGGGGCCAGAGCCACTGGCAGAGGGAGATGGGATTGTTGCTGGTCCCCTCCCCAGGTACCAGCAGCATTGATGACAGGCAGGGCGGAGACACGGCGGTCCACGAAGATCTCCAGGGCGGTGTAGATGGGGGCGGTCTCAGGCACAACGGCCACATCACGGAAGGTGCCAATGCACAGCTCCTGCACCGTTTTCTTCAGGAAGTGTGGCTTGGGGATAGTGGAGCCCTGCAGTGGGGCAGGGCAGGGCTGGGCTGGCACCTACACACACCCCGTCACCCTTGTTTGTGCTCCTACACATTCGCTATGTGTGCACACACAGCCCCAGCACTCACAAAGATGTGGAGGAACTTGAGGATGCGCTTGTGTGTTAGGATGTGCAGGACATTGCCCGAGATGGGCTCAATGACGGGCAGGCGGTGGATCTTGTGCTTGATCAGGGAGTAGACAGCATCGAAGAGGCTGCGGGTGATGGACACACCGTGGGGGGATAGGGCTGCATCCCAGGCACACCTCCCACGGGGGGGGGTGCTGTCCCCCAGCGGGCAGGCGCTCATGCTCGGGGAGATGTAGACCAGCGGCTTGAAGGAGCCCTGCAGGTACACCTCTGCCAAGGGAGAGAGGTGGGAGAGGGGGTCCTCCAGCCCCCTCAGGCAGCCTCACACCCCCAGAGCCCACCTCCATGCCCTGTGTGACATCCCCAGCCCAGCCACCCCCATTGTCCCCCACTTTTTACCTCTCCAGGTCTCAATCTTGTGCTCCTCCACCTCATAGATCTGAACCTGAGGGCGGGGAGATGCCCTGGTCACAGTGGCCCCATGGGGGACTGAGGGGACTCTGGGGCACTTCCTGCTTCCCCAAGCATCCCACCTCATCGCCCTAAGCACAAGGATCAAATCTTGGGTGCCAGGCAGAGGGGCACCAAGCGGATGCTAGACTGGCCCAGAGCATCCCCCCCCCATCATGGTCTAGTGATGAAGTGGGGACCAGGAGAGGGAAGAGGGGATCAGGAGAGGTGGAAACAGCCCCTCCCTGCCCCATGCCCACCCCAACACCCTGTGGCCTCCCGTCACACTCACCAGGGGCGAGCGGTAGTAGCGGTGGAGGATGTTGATGAAGTCGGTGATGGTGAGCATCCCTGCGGAGACACGTGGGGCTGGCAGCACTGCCTGCACCCTCTCTGCCAGGCAGGGGAAGGGGCCAGGCGGTGCTGCTGGCACTCACCCACAAAGCTCTGCGTCTTGCTGTCCCAGAGCGGGGCGGCACGCACCCCGTTGGCCACCAGTGCTATGAAGGCTTTCTTGATCTGCTGGTGGAGTGTGGAGGCGGTCAGGGGGTCCCTGAGCCTGCTCCCTTCTTCCCCATCCCCGTTGATCCCCTGCTTTGTCACCTCCAGGGAGATGTCGAAGACAACAAGCTTGCAGCTGGTGGGGATGGCATCGTAGCAACAGTGGCTCCTCATGAAGTGCATGTAGACCTCGGCGTCAGGGCTCTGAAATTCGCTTTCTGGGCCCAGCCCCAGCACCTCATTGCCCAGCGTGAAGGTGACGGGTCTTGGACTCCTCCGCCTGTCCTCTTCCTCTTCCTCCTCCTCCCCCTCCTCCCTGGGGCACAGGGCCTCCGGGAACCCTGTAGGCAAACCCACCCCAGCCCTGGTCGGCGAGCTGAGCTGTCAGGTCTCAGCACCCTCCTGCCTGGGCGGAGCAGAGGGATGCTGTGGGATGGGGTGCTCTCAATAGACACCCCTCCCCGTCCCCCACTCCACAGGGGCAGCACACAGCACTGCAGCTCTCCAGCCTGCGGGAGCACTGTGAGCTGCTGGGAAGGAGCTGAGGAGTGGAGTGACGAGGGGTATGGGCAGGGTGGGCAGAGGACTGATGCGCTCATTGCATGAGTGAGCCAGCCCACAGCCAG